AAGCATGTCTCAATTCAGACCAGAATTTTTAAATTGCGTCCCAGAGTTTGACGGAAATCCTAATGACTTAAATAGGTTTCTATCAGTGAGTGAAACATTAATTGCAAATTTTTATGATATACGGAACCCACATAATTTCCAAAATATCTATTTGCTAAATTCACTGATCTCGAAATTAAAAGGAAATGCTAAAGTGCTTGTGAATATCCAAAATATCACAAGTTGGGCAGATTTAAAAGACATTCTGACTAGGAATTTTTCTGATCAAAGAGATGAAACTTGTCTAAATCGTGATTTGGTTATGTTGAGGCAAATGCCAAATGAAACGCCTCAAAAATTTTATGATAAGTGTCTTCATATTTTGAATCTGCTATGCAGCCATGTAAACGTACATGAACATTCTGAAGAAGCAAAAGTGTTAAAAAGAAATTTATATCAAGAATTAGCTCTGAAAACATTTTTGTGCGGACTACGAGAGCCCTTGGGTACAACAATTAGATGTATGAAACCCACATCTCTCAGCCAAGCTTTACAATTCGTTATATCTGAAGACAATGTCAGCTATTTCCAAAATTATAACAAAAATTTTGGAAAATCACAAAATGTGCCCCAGAATCAAACTTCCAGGCCAATGCAAAAATGATAAGTCAAAATAGACCTTCATACTTTCAGCCTACTAATTATTCATTCAGTCAGCCGAACACTTCAACATTTCAACCTAGGTTCAATTCGACTTTTCCGACTGGACCTGTAAATTTGCCAAGACCAGTTTATCGTCCTCAGAGATTTCCGACGAATTCTCAAGTTTTTAGACAAACACAGAATAACAGAAACGTTTTCAAACCTAACCCTAACCGTACTTTACCACAAACTACTCCAATGAGTACTTCTACTAGAATTTCTTTCAAACCTGAACATAATTCGACAGCCCAGCAACAACCAAAACCAAATTGGATCGCTGAAGAGCTATTCAATACAGAGACAGAAGATAAACACCTATGAAGTTCCTGGTAACGAATCTTTTGTTTGCGATCAAACTGTAGCTGAACCACAAAATTCAGATACATATTTCACTGATCATATTGCGAGTATTATACACAAGATATTCCTGAAACTGATCACGTAGAACCACCTCAAAATTTTCAGAAGGACTCATTCATAGAACACAAGACCTAGCACCAGAAGTAATTTCACTTAACGCCAGCAATGCTAGCGAACTATCCTACATTCTTTTTCCCGAATATGGAATTAAAATGTTGATCGATTCTGGATCAACTAAGTCATTTATTGATCCCAGTATTGCTCGTAAATTTTTTCCATCAGAGATGATCCATTCGTTGTATCAACTGTTTTTCAAAAATCCGCTCACAAATATAGTGCATCCATCCCGGCATCGAAAATTTTCAATCTTCCTAATCGTATAGATTTGAAGTTTTACCTATTTAAATTTCACAATATTTTCGATGGATTGATTGGATTAGATAATCTAAAATTATTGAGAGCCGATATTAATTTAAGCAAAGGAACTTTACATACGCCCTACGCCAAAATTAGACTAAAATTTCACCAGCTTTCTAACGACTTGAATTTGATAACCGTCGCACCTCGAACCGAACAAGTAATAAAAATCAAAACATCGATCGCCAATGGTGAAATCGTTATTCCTCATCAAAAATTTCATAATTGCGAGATACCTGAATGCCTTACGATAGCAAAAAATAATTTTGCGTTGACAACGATTTTGAATAACACTACTAAGCCTGTTACATTAAATTTTTCTCAGCCGATTTCAGTAGAATCATTTAATTTATCAGAAATGCCAGAAATTGATCTCAATTATTTAGACACGTCAAAAAATTTGACCTAGATTTGTCGAAAATCAGAATTGATCACCTAAATTCTGAAGAGAAATCAGGATACTTCAACTTTGCAGAGAGTTTTCAGACATTTTTTACCAGGACGGAACTCCACTAACATTTACTAATAAAGTCAAACATCAAATAAAAACCAAAAACGAAAGGCCCATTTACACAAAATCGTATCGCTATCCATTTGTTCACAGAGGCGAAGTAAATAGCCAAATACAAAAAATGTTGGATTCCAATATAATACGTCCAAGTAGCTCAGGTTATAATTCACCTATCTGGGTCATTCCAAAGAAGCTAGACGCTTCGGGGAAGCAAAAATGGAGAGTTGTAATTGACTACCGAAGTTTAAATGAACAGACTATTGACGATAAATATCCATTACCCAATATCAACGACTTGCTAGACAAACTTGGCAGATGCCAGTATTTTACTACCCTTGACTTAGCGAGTGGTTTCCATCAAATCGAGAGGATGGAGGAAACAGACATAGAAAAAACCGCCTTTAGTACCGAAAATGGGCATTGGGAGTTTCTCCGGATGCCTTTTGGCCTAAAAAACGCGCCCGCCACATTCCAACGCGTCATGGATAATATTTTAAGGGGATACAAAACGAGAAATGTCTCGTATATCTCGACGACATTATAATTTTTTCTACATCCCTTCAAGAACATATTGAAAATTTAAGGTCAGTTTTCCAACGACTCAGAACTTCAAAATTTAAAATACAGCTCGATAAATCAGAATTCCTTCGTAAAGAAGTAGCTTATCTCGGACATGTAGTCACACCAGACGGCGTTAAGCCAAATCCAGATAAAATTATTGCCATCCAAAAATTTCCGATTCCAAAAACGACTAAGCAGATTAAAAGCTTTCTCGGACTTATTGGTTACTATAGACGTTTTATTAAAGATTTTGCGAAACTCACAAGCCTCTAACTAAATGTCTAAAAAAGGGAGCCAAAATTGAACACGATGCAGAATTTATTGACTGTTTCGAAAAATGTAAAAATGTTCTTATCAATGAACCGATACTCAAGTATCCAGACTTTTCTAAGCCATTTAACTTAACCACGGATGCGAGCAACGTAGCCCTTGGTTGTGTACTTTCACAAGGCCCTATAGGACAGGATCTTCCTATCGCCTATGCTTCGCGCACGCTTAATGATTCCGAACGAAATTATAGTACGATTGAGAAAGAATTACTAGCAATAGTCTGGGCGACTAAATACTTTAGACCCTATCTTTACGGGAGAAAATTCAATCTAATTACTTAAAATACTTATGGTCCCTTCGAGACCCTTCTTCAAAATTACTAAGATGGAAAATCAGGTTAGACGAGTATGATATGAATATCATCTATAAGAAAGGCAAACTGAATACAAATGCAGATGCCCTGTCTCGTGTAGAGATCCATACAAAAGAAACCAGTTCATTTTGGAACGACTTAGATGATTTGATTCAAGAATGCGCAGGTACTCAACACCAAAACGTTAAGTTTGACCGACCAGTTCAGAAAGGCTCATCTGAATTAAGTACACCTACATTTAACTTTTCTACCCCAAAACAACCTGATACCGAATCTATGTTCGTAAACGTCGATAATGACGAAGACAGTCTTTTTATTCAACCCCTGGACGAAATTGTAGATATCATTGAACATGAACAAGTCAATCTAGAATATCAAAATAATCGTCCTGAAAATCCAGACGAAACTGTACATTCAAATGCGGACCAACACCCCATTCAGACAATTCCTATAGTTGATTACGCAGTTAATCAGGGAAATAATCAGATTATCATAAGTACAGTAAAACATTCACCTGCACCACCAAAAATTTCTATTTTATTTGAAAGCAAGCAACGAATTAACGTACAATTTTCAGAAAATGATTTTGACGATGATGTATTTAAATTTATTCGAGATTATATTGCTCCTAACGTCATTTATCACTTATATTAAAATCCAGATATATATGAAAAATTTTCTGTTGTTCTACAAAGGATGTTTAAGTCCGATGCTTTGAAATTCAAAATGTGTAGAACCAAATTAGTCGACGTTACAGATAAAACTGATATCAAGGACATTATCCGGAATTACCACGAAAGCAAGTCGAATCATCGTGGAATTGAGGAAACGCATCAGAGAATAAAAGAAAAATATTTTTGGCCTAACTTGAAAAAATCAATCCAAACATTTATAAATGAATGTGAAATTTGTCAACAATGTAAAATGAGCGTCATCCGATAAAAATTGCGATGAATCTCACCCCCACTGCATCAAAACCTTTTGAAATCGTACATATCGATACTTTCACTTTTGAAGGTTCAAAATTTCTCACAATTATAGACAGTTTTTCTAAATATGCTCAAGCATATCAGATTACTTCGCTTTCAGGAACTGAAATTGCTGATAATCTGATATTATTCTTTTCTCATCATGGAATTCCTACCCGAATTATCGCAGATAATGGTACTGAATTCAAAAAACCGTTGTAACTGAACTTTTGTCACTTCACAAAATTAAGCTTCATTTTATTTCGCCAAATCATCCAGATTCTAATGGAGTCGTTGAACGATTTCATTCAACTATCACCGAACATTTAAGATTGTTGAACACAGAAGGCTTTCAGAAAACCCCTATAAAAATGAAAATGTTGTATGCCGTTTTAGCCTACAACCACACCTTACATTCTGTAACAAAATTAAAGCCTATAGATATAATCAATGGACATATTACGTCGAATGAACCATTCGATATCAAAATCGACCAATTACTCCTCAATGACTATACCAACAGCCACAAAGAGCGTACAAAACTATTGTATTCAAAAATAAATTCTGATCTCATTCAAAACAAAGAGATAACGCTAGAACGCGTTAACAGAGATTGCGATAGTCCGACTATACTTGATAACCGAGAAACAGTATACGTCAAAAAGCATGTTAGAAAAAAGCACGCCAACAAATTCTCAAAGCCGTGTAGACTACAAAGTGTTAATACGGAGAAAAAGACTTTACTCGTTTGACTAAGCCTCGAGCAATTAGATAAGAAACTATGTATGTAATCTACGTTTACTTTACTCTTAATTGCACGCTAAAAATAAGATTTTCTTTCGAATATATTATTTTACAGGTTCCCAGGAATCATAGGAATCCATGGTACGATAACGTTGAAGAATTTAGAAAATAACCTAGGGTTGATACCCATGAAATTAGGGACCGCCAAAATTACAAAAAATTGTCACTCAATACTGTATTTTTACGACGTCAATTTAATAATCACTGAAGTTAATGACCTTAAGAAAAAAACTGAAAATGTTGCGAAATTAACCAGGAAATATATTGAGCACTATAAACACTCAGCAAATTACCTCAATGTTTTGTATTTCTTAGAAAGAAAAGTAGACGGAAAGCTAAATGACATTTTTCCCTCTACTTACGAAACTGTTCCATCATTCTCTGTTAGAATAAAAAGGGGATTAATAAACGGCTTAGGTTCAATTTTCAAAGCAATCACAGGAAACCTGGATGCTTCAGATGGTGAAAAATTCGAGTCTCTAATAAGCGATTTGCAGAATGATCAAAACAAGTTATCAGAAGCTATCAATAGTCAGAATACCTTATCTGTCGAACTTATCGATAATTTCAATAAAACTGTAAGTCAGATTACTCATAACCAAAAGCTATTGGAAGCTAAAATAAATCAGCTTTTAACAGCCATGATTAACACACAAGCCTACATAGAAAATGGCTTTTTCTTGAGAGATACAATCTCAGAGATCATGAATATCTATCATATCATAATTTCAGTACTCCAGGATATATAAAACTCACTTACTTTTGCAAAATTGGGAATTATGCTCCCCAGTGTAATCAAACCAAAACATTTACTTCAAGCACTAAATTCAGTGGGATTAAAACTATCCACAAAGCAACTCCCTTTAGAAGTTACTTTGGATAATATCCCGATTTTTGAAAAGCTCATTAAAATCGGCTGTTATACAGTTGATAGAAAAATAACATATATTCTTCAAATTCCAATTGTTCATACATTCCAATTTGATTATCACTTATATTCAATTCCAACCTTTCATAAGGGTCTGTTCAAAGTAGTCATCCCTTCTGGAAAAATCTTGTAAAGAATGAGTTGTACTTCGCTTTTGCGGGAGACGCATGCACGGAAACGGTCACAAAACAGTACGTTTGCAAAGAACTAGATTTAAGAAGAATCAAAGAATCCAATCCCTGTGAAGTTCAACTCCTGGTACAAAAAACTCCCACTACCTGCCGAGAAGTAGAAGCCGTAATCACAGAGCCAGTAATGAAGAAACTGCATGATTTCGGACAATGGATCTTGCTTATATCCAATGAAACCACCATTACATTAAGCTGTCAAGAAGGCCAAGAAACAGTCAAAGTTTTGGGATCCTACTTAGCCGAAATTCCAGTCGGTTGTACACTGGAACTAAATCAAGAGCCTATATCGATTGGAAGTCAGCCAATTATTTTTCCAAATATAGATAGCAATACTACAATGCTACCAAGCCGAATGACTTCAGCCTTCATCTAGACCAAATAGAATTTGATGAAGTTCACAAAGTAAAAAGAAGATTAATAGAAAATCGTGTTGACATCCATTCACATAAGGTGTCGCACATTCCCAGTTCTTGGACAATCCTGTTGTATGGAGTACTGCTGCTGCTACTTTGCTGTTTTGTCTACAAGAAGATCATTCCGAAGATTTTTACTAAGCCGAAGAAACCACAAAGAACCCCTATTGAAGAAGTTGATCTTTCCAATGTGCAACTTCCTCGTTAACCCTCGAAGTTGCATCTACAAGGGGAGGCGTTATAGTACAGAAGATTTACCCCTACCACTAAAGAACAGGATCGAGTTCCCTGGATCAGCGCTTTGCCTTATCCAGTCTTATATTATTGTAAACAGAGTTAGATAGTCTGTTGTTAGCGCTCATACTATATACATCAATAGAATTGTATTTTTGATAATCGAGAATAAATCTTTTTAAAAAGCAAGTAGACTGACTCGGTCAGATAATTAGTGGGATACTAGTAAGAGCAGCTTCATTTATAACGTTTGTTAAAAACTCTACCGATACACTGCTGTCCTGAGAAAGTTCCAAGGAGGAAAATTGCTGTTCATATGTATGCCAATCTGCTTTTGGGATGATCCAGTATTGAGGGATTTGTGTATTGGCTTTGTGTGTATCGAGGGTCACCTTGCATGGAAAATGGTCACTGTTATGAAGATCATCTAAGACAGACCAGAGGACACGTCCAGAAACTGTGGATGAACATATAGCCAAATCAATTGCTGAGAAGCTTTGACAACGTGCAGAAAAATGTGTGGGTGAACCATCATTGAGCACTGTAAGGTTATCTCTTTCTAATAGTTCGGAAATTGAGCGCCCTTGACAGTCAGTTCTAGTAGATCCCCATAATGGACTGTGCGCATTGAAGTCTCCTACAAGTAGAACTGGTTTCTTAATAATATTTGCAACACCTCCATGAGCTCTGCTTTCAGATGAGATATCCTTCCTAATGATGTTATACCTTTTTAGGTTATACGGAAAATTGGGACGTAAGTGAGTCTCTTGCACACGTACGCAGATGGGGTCATGGTCATGCAATAATATTTTTAGGTCGCAATATTTTTGTACGATACCATTGCAGTTCCAATAAATTATTGATTCCATTGTATGTGTCATGTTTTTTGTTTAAAGTTAAATTATAATGAATAGTGAGTAAATGTTATAAATGCCAAGATAATATAAATATATGCAGTGGTATTGGATATAAATAAAACAAACTGGTAAGTACTGTAATAAGTTAAAGATTATAATTATTATTATTACAATTATTATTATTATTATTATTATAATTATTATTATTATTATTATTATTATTGTTATTGTTATTATTATTAATATTGGGGACAAAGGCCTGTGAGTAGCCTCCGCGAGGCAAAAGCTGCCCAGGCAGGTGTATAGCGTAGTACAGACTTATAGTCCATCAGCTTCTGCACCTGCAAGACCGTCCGTGCGTGGTGAAGAACCACATACTGCTAGAGCTGTCCCTGCTTTTAACAGGACATGGCGGATCTAGAGGAGTAAACCTCAAAAAAAAACCGCAATCCCAAGGTATTTGTTGTGCTGAGGGGATGAATGGCACTGAGTTAGTGTGTTCTAAACGGCTGCCTCCGGATACCGGGCGACCTCCGGTTGAAACTAGCCTTGCTATGATAAGCCTGCTCTTTCATAGTCGACCTCCATATCAGAGCCTACTCGTGGGAATAAGATGAAGCATACTCAAAACCAAAACATCCAGGAGGCGCCCCCCTCCAAAAAACGGGTAGTGCTGGGGGAGCACTTTCCAGTCCTTCAGCAGGCGTGAGGTCGATGGGCGATTGCCCCCGGTTTCTGCTTGTTAAAAGAGAAAACGATAATTTTTATAAAGTGAGCCCTTTTGTTATATCAAAGACATTATATGGAATTGTTGGTGAAGTAAAGTTAGTGAGAAAGGTTCGAGAAGGTCTCCTTGTTGAAACTAAATCTACACAGCAGACTATGCGACTATTCCCGATAAAAAGGTTTGGAGAATTTGATGTGAGTATGGAGGCACACCAGTCCCTCAATACCCGAAAAGGCGTGTTTTTTTGCAGAGACTTGCTCAACTGCTCGATTGAGGAGATATTGGATGAACTGAAAGGTGATGGTGTCATACATGTAAGAAGGCTAAAGAGTAAAAGGAATTGAGAACTGGTTGAAACTCCAAATCACGTGCTGATATTTAGGAAAACTGTCTTACCAAAGGAAATCCGCGTTGCGTTCCTTAAGTTAAATGTAAGGCCTTATATTCCACCACCTACCAGGTGTTTCAACTGTCAAGCTTTAGGTCACACAGCTGGAAACTGTCAGAAGGAAAAAATATGTCCATGTGGTAATCCTCCACACGAAGGTCCTTGCCCGGAACCCAAAAAATGCGTAAATTGCGAAGGTCCACATTCAGCAGCTTATATGAATTGTCCAAAACTAAAAGCTGAAGCAGCAATACAGAAAGTAAAGGTAATGGAAAACATAACATATGCAGAAGCAAAAAGAAAAGTAAATATAACCACTCCAAAACCTACTACGTCCTATTCTGCTGCCGTCCAAAAGTCATCAGAAATGAACATTCAGCAGATCATATCAACAATAATTCCTCATATCGAAACTGCAGTTAGAAACGCAATCTCATGTTCTACATCTAAGTGCGACCATTTTAAAGCCCCATCATCAGGGCTAATCTTCCGTAGAGATAGATCTGAAAAAACTATTTATTTATTTATTATGTACCGTCCATCCCTACATACTATTTATTTTATTTATTTGTTGTGAAAGTATTTTATTTAGATACATTTAAACTCTTAAAATCGCAATGGAATCAATCATACAGTGGAACTGCAATGGAATTGTCCAACGGTACTGTGAGCTTAGGCTGATTTTACAGAATCATGATCCAATGTGCTTATGTATTCAAGAGAGCCATCTCAGACCAAATCAAACTTACTCTCTTAGAAAATATAACATCTTGAGAAAAGATGTCACAGCTATCGAGCGAGCACATGGAGGAGTTGCGATAATTTTACGTGAGGATGTCTGTTTTGAGCCTTTATGTGTAAACTCAGCACTACAAGTTGTTGCAGCTCGAATAACAGTTCTTTAAAGGTAACTGTCTGTAATATATTATACCTACCTGATGGAAATTGGCGAATTGGTGACATCGAAAACGTTATATCTCAGCTCCCAGCACCATTCTTGTTCATTGGAGATTTCAATGCGCATAATCTCCTGTGGGGATCAGGACGTTTAGATCACCGAGGAGAATTGATAGGAAACTTACTAGACAGAGAAGATCTGATGTTGCTAAATACAGGAATGTCCACCCATCTGGCTGCTCGTTCCAGATCTTTCTCTGCGATTGATCTAGCGATCAGTTCAACATCCATAGCCGATCGCCTCCAATGGAGAGCTCTAGATGACATGTATCATAGTGATCATTTTCCTTGTATCACGTCCTTTGACATATCTAGAAGTAGTCCCCAAGTGCCACAATACTGGTTGATGTCAAAGGCAAATTGACAGCAATTCGAAGACTACTTATCAATTGTGAGTCCTGTACAAGATAATAACATTGGTATTCATAGTTTTACTCAGCTGATACATCAGGCTGCGGTGAACAGCATTCCGCTTGGTGGTGGATCTCCAAGAGGCCGTCGGTTACCATGGTGTAACTCTGACATATCCGATGCCGTGAGATCAAAAAAGCGTGCACTTAATATTTTTAAGAGGAACTGCACGGTATCAAACATGATATCTTTTAAGAAAGCTAGAGCTAAAGCGCGACGTCTTATTCTAGAAAGCCAGAGAAAATCATGGAAAGAATATGTCTCCACTATTACTACTGAAACGACAGCAAGTGAAGTATGGAATAAAGTCAGAGCCGTGTATGGTAGACAATCAGTTAGGCAAATCACACATCTGCAGACCTGTAACAGCAACATCATTAATAGCACAAATGAGGTGTGTAATTTACTAGCAGATACATTTGCTACCGTCAGCAGCTCGGAAAACTATAGTCGCGAGTTCAGGTCCACCAAAAATGCAACGGAAATACCACTAGACTTTTCAACAGACGTATCTTTAGCGTATAATGAGCCATTCCAACTGTTTGAGCTAGAAGAAGCCTTAAAAAAGACAAATCGATCAGCTCCTGATCCGGATATGGTAAATTATGAGATGATCCGTCATCTTCCTCTCCATGTCAAGCTT